CGTGTCTCTCGTTCTTAGTCGTTTCGATAATTAACAATTATTCTGTCTCACTTCCTTCCGTGTATTTGTCATTTTTCACTTCTATCCTCAACGGGGAACGTCCTCTCGTGTGATTACCAATACGAGATCGAAGATCGCCGCCTTTCAATGTACTCCTTAGGTCCCGTACTCTCGGTTGTCTTTAAAATATCGTTACATTTAGAAAAATGAAATTCAACCTTTCTTACCTGTTCTTCGAGAATATTAATCCTACACGTTAATTAATATCATTACCTCTCTTTGACAGGGTTATCGTTGACTTCGCTTTTCACATTGTTCAATCTTGCCCACACCGTGGATGCGACGCGAGGTTTATGCTGAACCACTTTTATCACACTCCCTTTAGGCCCTTGAACTTCCTTCGCTGGTCTATCGCTGTCATCGTCACTGTAATCTTCATCATCGTCCTGCTCCTCTTCCTCCTCCTCCTCTGGTTCTTCCTCGTCGGACTCCTGCCATTCACCTTCCTCCTTTTCTTGGCCTTCGTCGTCCTCTACGATTTCGCCGTCTTCTTCCTGTGCATTAAAAAAGCACACCTAACATCTTTGCTACTTGTAATCCGAAGGATAAGAGGATTTTAACGACCTACCTCTGAGTCGTTCGGTTTCAACGAATTCGACTTTGTTGCATTTGTATTGGTTACAACCACTTGAATTGCGTCACGGAACTGCGTTTCTTGGCGAGGTCTGCCAAGCCTCGATCGTAAATCATTACCTTTGTTTAAGTTGTTCAATAGCATCTATAAATAAATTATTACATTTGAAGAAATCCTCTCTTCCACATGAGATCTTTTATAGTTGAATCTAGTAATCAACGGTCTACTGACTTGCTGTCGGATCTTGGCCCGTTTTTTATGTATCTTTTCTTCCTCGTCGTCCGCGTGCATTCGCATCCGCAATACTTTACTCCTTTTGCACCATTCGTTTTCGCTATCGCTACTCTCGCTATGTTCCTGTTCCTCCACTTGCGTCGGTACTCTCGGTGGATATTTCGCTCCCAGTCTCTCTTTCACGCTACGTCCCTGATCCTTTTGTTCGGGTTTCGTCCCAAAATCATCTTCCACGAAGTCATTGAGACCCCAGCTCTCTGACAACGCGCCCCATGGGTTCTTCACGCGTTTGTTATCTTTAGAATCTTCAGGCGCCTCTTCTTTGAATCTTTTCTTATTTTGTCGAATTTGTTTGTACATCCTTTTACGCGATTCAGTTAAGATTCCTTTAATACCTGTAAAGGAGAACTGTCATTTAACCAATATTTATTTATACATTGGTAATGTACTCCTCTAATAGCTAGCATTACCTCCAAAATTTGGATTTCCATATTTCTTGTAATATTCACTCATCTTCTCTGCGTTAGGCTGTTTCTTATCAGCTCTAGTAGCAAATCTGAGAAATATTGCTTTGGACTTGGGATAATCTATTCCCTTCCTCCATGAGCCAGGAGGTAATGGACAATCAATATCCTTTATGTTTATATGGTCTCCTTGCGATGTATCTTTTGTACTATCGTTATCATCTTCCATTTCTATGGTACAGTCTTCGTTAGTCCCATTATTTTCCTCGTCTGGATTATCATGCGCATGTGTACTTTTCTGATTCGCTTTATCCAAACCCACAATCTTTTTCGACAATCCCAACATAGCCCTAGCTGCTGACACATTGTCTAACCATACTACATTACCTATAAGAAATCATCTGTTAGTATGATACATTATTCAAAACTGACTTTCAAATTATGTTTACATGAAACATCATTGATCCATTCTATAGATGCCGGAGCGTAGTCCTCAAAGTATTTGAACACATCCTTGGTGCTCATTTCTTCTGTGCCCCTCATGTGTATCACGTTCCGTCTGATGTTCTTTGTGTTTTCATTGTCTTCAACAATGCCCATGCTAAAAATCAGGATAGCATATTGTACCGTAACTATACAGCAATAAAGATTTACAAGAGAATGAAGATTTTCACCTAGAATATAAATCTTGCTCTGGATTCGACGAATTACTATTCACCTTATCCGTTAACCCAAAACGCTTCGCTCTCTCCTCCATCTTCAATTTCTCTTCTTTACTAAATATATCTATACCCGTCGTAAATGTACCGCCACGATTCTCATAGCGACTTTCCAATTGCTTCTGTTTGCATGTAACAAATGAATTATATTAAATTCTGTACTCAGAAGAAATAGCGTTACCGAAGCGGGTAATCTAATCGCGCGCATATTACTATTATAATCATGACTCTTATAAAAGAATATTAATCGCTCTGATTGACCACTCGATAGTTTTAATATTATTTATGCCGCTTCTTCACCTCAGGCGTCTGCACATTCTTCGCATTGAATGTTTTCTCGTCGGTCTGGTCAGGATAAACAGCTTCGCTGTCATCATCGGCAGCGACCATCTCCACGTCCATCGGCTCTGTCACTTCGTCCATTTTTTCAAGCTCTCGTCTCTACTTTCTCACAATATTACGAGAAACAATGGGAAAAACATGAAACGCCGGGTTTTTCGGATCACTATTTACGGCACTCAACGCAGGAGAAACAACACGATAGGTTATGCTGCACAGCCTATATAAATATCGAGGTTACGTATCTCTACAGCGCCTCAACGATTTTAGCGCCACCATGAATTATTTTCGGCGGGACATTCAAATCGATTCGACTCGATCTCTTCTTCGTGCCCAAAAATAAATGTTGTTAACATTCAATCATTCTTAGATCAGTCTTAAATTTACATCTCAATTCAATTTCATTTAAACTATATAAAATTTATTCTCGTTCAAGCACAATAAAACTTTGAAACTGTCAAAAGTCTCCAACGAATGCTACTGAATAAAATATAATATTGCATAAAATCATCAAACTTATTCAACAAAGACATTCACAAAATATAATACTGTTATTAATTGTAATTATAAAAATTGTACAATACTGTTATAATTATTTACAAAATATAAATCATCAAACTTATGCAATAAAGATATTCACATCAATGTTTATGTTACTGGCACAGGAATTTTACCAAATAATCTTTTGACACATGTAATTTAGTCCATAATTAAATGTAGATCGTTAATCAGCGAGAGAGGGTCACAGCTACTTAAATCCCTATCAGTACTTTGTTACCTAAATCCCAGAGAGAACTATAGATAATATTATTTTTATCAATGAAGAGTGTTATACACGTAAAATTCCTTGGCAAGTAACAGACACGTTCGTTTCAGATGTAATTTTATAATCGACGCGGTTTGCGACGCGCATAACAACATAAATTACTACCAATTATTTTTTGCGCACGATGCGATTGTTTAATGGAACCTGTGATTCACGGAATGTATGGTGCATTGAATTGCATAGAACATTCCACGTACCATGGATATAAAAATAGTATTTTATACCGAACGCACAGTTTCCTTATAACTTTGTTATTTCCTTACACTATAATCTTAACAATCCTATTATCTAGAATATATAAATGTATGCGTGCATCGAGTATTCTGTTATTAAACTCGGTAAAACCATGTTCCAGTGAATCAACGAATATTCCTCACACCTTATGCATCACAAAAAATTCCTTGTACCATTAGTAACAAAACTGACAAATTTTACTGATAAAAAATCAATTTCTTAAATAACATTTGTAATAACAGCAGTAATAATTCCTATTTTAGCGTCACCGATCAACCGATGGAACCACGTCTGATTTTATAATTAATCAGAAAAAATATCAACCCTTTGCGCCCGAAAGTTTTTCCAAGCTAACTTATCGAGAAATCACGCATAAACCGAGAAACGAAGCTATTTTATTTCAATACTTCATATACTAATTTTGCAGAACTTAGTGTTAAATATCTTTATGATTTTGCTATATCAAATTAAATGGTAGAGACACCTGTCGAGTGCAAAGGGTTGAAACTATGACATGCAACCGTACACCTTCATCCTATTTCTACCAGAAAAATGATATACTATTTTATTCGAAACGATCTCGCTACTGATGCATCAGCAATCCACTGTTATTAGATAAGTGAATATAATTCTATATAAAAATCAGCTCTAAGTCAACTCCTAAAAGTAGTCTCCGAAGACGTTCACACATGACAGTGACCAAGCGAAACAGACCGAGAGTCAATGAAAAAGTAGTTTACATTCTACAGAGAATATACGATCACCATGAGTATACCAACAAGAACATCGAGAACGTCACGATTTTCTTCCAAAGTCTTTGTCGCGACAGAAGGAGACACCGAGTTAACACGGTTTCATTATCGTCAATCAAGTATCACCGAATCGTGTGTGTCGAAGTGTTTTCCGCCGGACCAGCCGGCTGAGCTTTAAGCAAGCATTCACTGATAAATTAAGGAGCGATCGCGGCGATTGACACAGTCCGTAGCTACCATCGGTTTAACGTGGATGTCAGTCCGGTTCGCGGAGCAAGGGAAAACTTCCGCGACGAATTCCGTGGGTCCGTTGCCGGGTCGTCAGTGTACTTTTCATGACGGTAGGATCCATTCGACAGTTTCAACGCCGGACAATCGAGATTCGTCGCGCGGAAGCGGTGAAACGAACGAAAAATGCCTGAAACCGGGTTGCAGATGACCGAAGTGGTAAGTGTCGGGTAAATCGGGGCGAACGGACAGTTCATAGTAATTAACTGGACACTATACATGCTCGGGAACCCATTAACGCGACGATCTATCGGCGGAGATCGTTAACAATCATCGAGTCGCAGGTCGGAGTTTCTAACTGCGCTTTTGTCATATTTCAGTGGTAAAACGCTCGATTGTCTCCGTCGCGCGATGTTATTTCGGGATCACTCGGGGGAGTAAACAGTCTGATGATTTGTAGACAAACATTCGTTTGCCAAGAACATTGTAAGAGCCTTTCGATTATTCGCCGAGGCCTTTGGTCTTGAATTCAAGATCACTCGTAAACTGACCGAGGAACGTTTGGATAGTCTAACGAGATTAATAAGGATAGATTTGATGATATTGACAGAAACTCGAGTTTTTGTTTGTCTCCTCGTCGAAGATGCTAACAGTGTTAACAGAGGTGTACGAATGAGAAATTTTCATCCTGCTGTTTCACAAATGTGACCTCAAACTACATTGAAACTTCGAATTATCGCGGCTTGAACACTGAAACTAATTGAATCGGTTTCTGTGGATCTCTTTGTCGGAAATTAGAGTGGATTCGTTAAGTTCTATTGATATCGTACTTCTGAATAGTTTGTTCTTAATCGTTCAGTTCGTACTCAACTGACTGCTTCGATCATTTCCCAAGCATTCGTCTTTTCCATAACTGAGTCGCTCAGCAGTTGTCAATTTTCATGGAATAAATTCCGAAAGCAAAGATATGAAAACATGAATTTTCTCAATGTTTCTTTTCTGGAAAATCAACCGCAGACTTCTGACTCAGTAGCGAAGAAGAAAAATTCAACGATTAAAAATGATCCATTTCCTATGAAAAAATGATCGAAAGACCCTGATGGTTCTAGCGTTGAATTCATTGCTACTCGTTAATTCCGGTGAACGCTCGACGATAGAGCAATATCCATAGAATTCGGTGTTTCTATTCGACACGATCCGCGACTGCGAAAGGTGCGAGGGACGCCGACTGCCGGGCCGTAAACTTGATCGTGAACTTCGTCGATCGCGATCATCGGAAGGACAGTATCGATGTATATTTAGACGGCAATCGGGTTTGTCAGCGGTCGAGCGATTGCTGCGCGGTGTACACACGCACGACAATAAATCTACCCCGCTAGAATATCCACGATTACGAGACACGTAATTCGAGCGGATCGTAAAGTAGAATCAGATCTCGCGACACGTGCTGCGTACGCTCCCGGTTCGCCGATAGAAATCGCCGATTCGCGGCAAAAACTTGCGGAACGCCTGCTACGAATCATTTCTTGCATGCTTCTGAATCATTACGACGTTTTGCTTCGATCCAAAGAAATAGAGGTCTATTAACTTCGATCGAGCGATTTTTTTCGTGGCTTCTGTATCGCGCGACCATTCCTCTATCATTCACTATCTATGCCGCGAGTATTTTGCATTTATACTAGACCTAATAACTATGTGTACCTCCGAGCAGCTAACTGTTTGATAACAATGGAGATTCGAGGGATAATTAGCTTCGCGTGCATCGCGAATCGAACGGCGCTCGACAATTCGTCTTCGAGCGTTTCGCTCGGCAACGCTTATTTGAATAGGATTAAACCAGCCATCAAAGTTGATTAAGAGTTTTACAGCGTATGATGCAACCTGCATTTCTATTGACAAACACGGGAAAACCGTCACGGTGAATTGTATCGGAGTTTGCGCGAGCTTAATGCCGATTCAGAAAAATCAAGATATCTCGTTGCGAAATCCGTGACGTGAAACGGTTCGGCTAATGAAATTATTAACATACACGTGCGAACTGGATTATCTGAATCGACTTCCTTTAATTGGTT